AGAGGACTGATGAAGAGGCGTAGGGGTTGAAAGGAAAGATGAAGGAATGAACCCAGAATCAGGATGGATGCCGAAAAAAAGTTGGCTGTTGCCTGCATGGAGGCGACCTGGAAAAATTGTGGATCCCACAAGAAACTCACTGTCGCCCGCAGAGGGATGGCCCGCCATGCCACTCTGGCATGGCGCAAGAGGAATATAGCCAGAAAAGTTTTTACCAGGCCCAGTGTGGTACAATAAATCCGGAGAGGACAGACGTTAGGGAGGAGATGTCAGCTGAAACTGGAGTGCAGCAAGGGCATAAGGATCCGAGATGTAGAAGAGCCGCTATGTCTGAGGAAAGGGAAGAAAACATTAAACAGTATCGGAGAATGGAGCAGAAGACAGCAGCCATGACTGGAAAAGAAAGAATCTAACAGGATATGCAGGAAGTTGACTGGACTGGAGATCAAGAAGTGAATAGCTGGATTTTCTTTCGGCCTACGACAAAACAAGGATTGGACCTTGTGGAGTGGTCGACCCCCTCTGAAATGAAAAAAGGAAATAGCACATAGAGGAGGAACCAGTAATATAGAAGCACCGGCGTCCCCAGCTGTAATGAGTGAGAGAAAAAGTGAGGGATGAATGTGATACGACAGGATCAACAAACGCCGGACCATGGAGCTGCTCGGGTCAAGCACCCTTGAAGAAGGGGACAGATGGAAGGCAGGGAAGTACCATTAGGCTGTTTGGGATGAACAGCCTTTAGAAGGGAGCAATGTCACATGCTGGTAATCCATGGAAATGCAATAACAGTGGGCTGTTGCCTGGGAATACCTTAAACAACAAACATGTTTCCCTGGAGATGAACGGACAACAGAGGGTTTGATGCATAACAGTGGCTGAGACCACAGGCTCCTAGATGGTGCGAGTTATTCCATCTGAGACCAGGTTATGAAAGTCCAGCTTCAAAGGGACCATACAGTTAGTTGACTTCTGGAAGTTGCCGAGAACTGTTCAGTTTGGCTTCAACTATAGCAGAAGCAGTAATTATAACAGTGTTGTAAGCAATGTCTGACGACAATAAGTGGATGATAATGGTGCTTGGAAGTGTAGAAGAGTGTGGCCAATAAACATATTTGCCAAATCTGAGACCTGCGTGAATTTATTTGTCGCATCACATAAGGAACATGTGACAATATGTATACCTAGATATGTTGTGTTGGTTTTATTCACATCGGTAAAGCTGTTCATTTTACCATTAAAAATGTTTTTGTGTGTGTGTGTCATAAGGTTTAAATTGTTGATACATTTCACTTTAGGGTGAGTATGACTGGGAAAGACAAGCTGAAGTGATGAGTGTAGTTCCCAGTGACTGGAACTGTAACAGAAATAACACTTTGACAAGGACTTTTTGCAAAAGCATATATTTGAAAGAATCTTACGGCTTTAAGATAAATACACGTAGTTTGTGAACTGGAAGAACATGCTTCCATAAAATTGGTATTAAGGCATACTGTATATGATTTTTAAATGTCATATTGGCCATCCAAGATTTAATATCTAAGTGAAGCATGCTTACAGACTTTTATGTTTGGAATTTTGTTTGTAACTGCTAGCTTTCATCAATTGTGGCTGTTATTCTGCTGTCTTATTATTTGCATTCTGTAACTCTGAAATACTGTGAATGTTGAAATTACAAAATATGCAGTTCTCGCTCCAAATAGAAGCTGATATTAATTTATTTGTTATGAAATTCATGTAGTGGAATGTTCCATTTGTCACGTTTGGTTTGTCCATAATCTGGTATGTAGCCAGTTTTGAAGTGGCACTTTGAAGTGCATGTAATGAAATCCATAATAAAAATGACTAGTTTATGAAATACATATTGTGAATATTTTATTTTCAAAATCTAGTCCTTTATCTACTTGCATAAGAATTCTTGGTTCCTGAGTGTTGGGTGTATAGGAAAAGTGGGATAACTGTTACTTGGCAATATGTATGAAGTATAAAATAACAGTTGTAGTGTTTAATTTCAAGTTCTTGCAACAATGGCTATGAAGAGTACTGTCTTCTGGTTTGTAACTCATGTAGTTCCATAGGAGTTCACTGATATTTCAGAGGAATATATTGCATTCTTCTACAGGATCAAGGACAGGTCGCAAGAAGAGCTCTGCTTGCCACAATGTGTTACTCATGTCATATATTTTTAAATGTTTGTAAATATTTAATGGAAATTCTTCATTTTCTAATTACCATGTGTTGGAAAGTATGTGATTGCACAGACACTCTATATTTGTTGTGACAATATATTGTGTAAGAATAAAATATGAAGTACTTTATTATTCCTTCATATTTTTATTTGAAGTGTTTTATAGCTTATCTCATGGTTTACTCAAATTTGTGTGTGGCCAAACATGAGTCCGATTGGCTGAAGAATTATGTAATTATTTTTACTGTTTGCTAACAAGAATGGACTGGTGACATCCATATTTTTGGACTTAAACTTCAGAATAAGTATATATATATATATATATATATATACACATAAATTTCGCATAAGTGTCTGGATAGACAAAGCAGGATCTACGATTTTCTGTCACTTGTTTTTAAAGTGTTAGAAGGCATGGTATTTCATACTTTATAAAAGTTTACAATGTAGAGCAATGACATTCTTGGTTTTGACTCATTTTGGGTAAGTGTGTTGTATTTAGTGTAGGTTCTAAAATGAGGTAATGGTCAGTGCATGTTAGTGCATGAAGACTAATGTAATAACCCATCTGAATAAAATATAAGAACTTTACCAACATATACCAAAAGTACAATGATTCACTTTTTGCTTTATATAATATTCTACTTGTATGACACATTAGGAGTGTTTTGAATGAATGTCAGACATTCACATGTAAAGTCTGTTTTTTGTATTAGTCACTGTCCTGTAACATCCCTTACACAATCCAGTGAGTTGAGGCCAATGGGTAGTTTATGTTTAGTGTTACTGATTGTTTTCATATAACCCAGAAAGGGGGCTATGCACTTGTTCAGATGAGGGAACATACAAAATATCTCATTCTGATATTAAAGGAGGTCCTTAAATCTCTCTGTCAGAATTAGCATTCGAAACACAAAGAAATTAATACTTCTTATGCTGGAACCCTGATCGTTGTTGGAGGCAAAAATGAAGTTGTATAAAAAGAGAGAAGTCTATAGGATAGGCAATAAATTGAAATGAGGAAGATGAAAATAAAGCTGGAATTGTCTGTGAATCATTCAGAGGGGAATGAAACCTTCTGATATAACTTATTTAAGCTTTCAAAATAATGTATATACCTGATAATTGACACGTTTTTTTTTTCTCGACTAAAACTATTACTTTTCAGTACCCACATTCTTCCTCTTGTCATTGCAGAAAAATGTCTTATTCATTGCTTCAGAAACGTTTAAAAACATGCTTTTACCTCACATTTACTGAATCCAGTTAAATTGATTCACAGTCTGTTGTATTCTAAACAGAAATCTTTGTAATAAAAAGGTTCATTGATTAAAGTACTTTAATGAATAAATTGTTTTTTCCAGCATCGACATCTAGAGTGGGTTTTAAAAGCAGTTAATGCAGTTAATATATTGTTCAGGATAAAATTAATTTTGCATTCTGAGCTGTTATAGTATTGTCACATGTTTGAGTGGTTATAGATAGGGTTTGGATTGGCAATTGGATTTACTGAACACTTACAAGAAACTATAGTGCTGTTGCTAATTCACACACACTTTACAGCTCTCTACAGCATGCCCTAAAGTTTTCTCTGCTTGCTGTGTCTTTACCAGTTTTCTGGTAACAGCTTCCAGTGGTGGTCTTTCCCCTTCCTCTGGGTTCCAAAGTGTTCCTGTCCTTAGCTACAGCAACCCTTGACTGACTGACTGACTTACCAACCAACTCACTCCACTCCACTAATTGACTGATTAAGTCTTCACTAACTGTCTTGATTATAACATTTCTGCATGGACTGCACAGAAAACACCGTTCCTCTGTTGCTGTTTACTGGCTGATGCCTAGTAATGGCAGTTGTCTAGTTGTCTGTTTTGTGGTTGTTCCCTAGTAACAGGTCTATGTGTTGCAGTATCTTGCTAATTAAAGATTTTGCTGTATTTAAAACACTTTATTTTAATCACTTTAATTTCAGCTTTAAAATCATGTTGATATTGCTACTAGTATTGTTAGTGATAGATAAATTTGCATATCATCAGAATTACTCCAGTTAATGTTTGTGCTCATTGTCTTTATTGCAGTTTCATATGTGCTAGAGTGTTCAGTCTCATAATGCAAAATATGAATGATAATTGGACCTCTCCTCTGTATTTGTAAATTTTATTTCTGATCCATTTATGAATGGGCATTGTGTGCCATTTTATCTCATGAAATATTTCAGGTCTAACTTGCATTGCTATATAGTTTATAAATCATATGATTGCTATACTGAAACATTAAGTCATAAGAACTTAACTCCTGTCAGTTAACTATAACATTTAATGTAATTATGTCTGATGTGTCAATATATGAGCTGTTATATTGCTGCTCTTGGTAATGTCAACATTTAGTTACTGTGTTCAGAACTGATAATTTCTTTAGATAATGTAGGGTGAAGTGTTGTACCCTTTTGTACAATAATGTTTCAACAGATGATGACAACACTTATTATCTAGGATGAATAAATATTAGCTAGTCATCGTTTAAAAAGTGTAACTTCTGCGTTCTACTTCAAAGTACAAAATTCATAATATGTGTTGTACAGAATAATTTACCTCTCATTAACTATGAGATATCAGAATGTAAAGTATTTATTGAATCCTGTATGTCATACACAGTGTTAGTAGTCCCTTACTTTGAAATGGCCTGATATAATTGTTCACTCTGAATTTGCTATAATGGCATAAAAACATGGACTGTTCCTGTACACATAGTTCACTTTCTTTGTAGGTATAATTGAAATGTGCTGAACATTTTTGTTTCAATGTGCCACATGTAGGCTAGAGTTCCAAACAAGGATGTGTCAGATGGTGCAGCGAAACGTAAAATTGTGTGCGGATCAAAACGTAGTTCAGCTGCTCCAGTCAAGAGTTCTGCTAGCAGTGAGGCAGCTCGAAAGGCTCGTGAAGAAGGTCGTAGGAAGATGATGGAAGAAAGACGCAGAGCTCTGCGTGAGAAGCGGGATCCTTCTGCTACATCAGGGCAGGTAGAAATATTCATACCACAAGAAAATGGTAAGTAGTGAAGGCAAGCTAACTTTGATGATGAATGCAAAATGTGACTACCAGGTATTGGCAGTGTTTTTTCACAGCAAGTGGATTATAAAGCTTCTGAATTAAAAGGTGTAATAATATTCTGATATATAAGAGTTTGAATTTGAACATAATATAATAGCTGAAATAAGTTACTGGAATGACATGACAGAAGTGCAGAGTGAACCAGGCTAAAGGTTAAATCATAGATCTATATTTAAAGTTTGTAAAGTGCCAGGTCATTATGTTGTCGTAATCTCATGAATATAGTAAAGAATGGAGTATGCTTAATGTGTTTTATGCTACCTTTTAAAACTGTTAAGTTACTAAACATGGTTACCAACTCACATAAATTAAATTTTGAACGTTCGGATGTAGTGAGCCTTTTATTGTCTAAATTCTGTGGCTTTGCATTGAGCTACAGAATGTAATATAAATTTTATTCTTGTTAACTCTGCTTTTCAAATGTTTGTGGAGTGTAGAGAGGACTTTGGGTTCAAATTCTGTAAAATAGAAACCCTAATTTTTGTGTGTGCATGAATGTTGGTTGGGAATGGAGGTTTAACTTCATGTCGAGGAATTTCAGTGACACAGGCCTCTTGGGGTCTAGTATGCCAAGTCCACTCCAATTTGATGATTCCACAGGAATTTCCCCAGTTTTAACCATGATGTAATTGTCATATCAAGGACATTAAAGAGAGTTTGTCACCAGCCAGAAATTTTCTGGTTAAATCCCAACCCAAGAGATGGCTTGGCACACAGTAGGCATTGCTGCAGAGTGCAGACACAATTTTGCATTCAAGATATATATAAAATGTTGCTAAGAGTTCATATATCCCAGAGCACTGAAAATGTACCCAGATGAAGTTAAACTGCAGATAAGTTAAGAATCCCATGAAATGAAAGTTTCCGTTTCAATTTCTTGAATTTCCAGTAATATGTGTGATATGAAGATATTGGCAAACCTGAAATTTCAAGAACACTTTCCAAATTTATGAAAACTGCCTAAGCAGAAACTGTTTGGAATAAATTCTCAGTAACTCAGATTTACAGAACTTGTGTAGGACCAGAATCTTGACAATAAAAATTCTCAGTATATGGTGCCATGTTCATAAATTTTATTTTATTGTAATGTTGCAATCAAATTCAAACCTGTCTTATAAAACAATTTTGCATCATGGTTACATTCTAAAGTAATGTCAGCTCACAGATTATACAGTTCTAAATTGTCTTATGAACATTTCAAAATAAATTACCATCCTGCACTATAACTCTGCCCTTTGAGATTATGGTACAACCAAAATTTAGTGCTTAACCTCCCAAACAGATTTTGGATAATCCCAAGCTCTCACTGTCACTAAACAATGAAGAATCCTGCACTGGTTATTCATGATTGTCAGCAAGTGAACAAATCAAACCATAACTTTAAAACCACAGACCATAGCATGATTCATGCCACCTTCAAATAGTGTTATTGAAGTTTCTTGCTTGAGAGTCATATCCTTGTTTTCAGACCGAAAAACTGCCACACTGTGAAGCGTGATTGTTAAGTGAGTAAATAACATGTGAATATAGTTAGAAAGAATTAACTTTTTTTGCCTTTACTATAAAATATTCTGTGTATCTGCAAGAGCTCTCATCACAAGAGCATAGAGCCCAACTGGATTAGAGGTTATCCAAATTTAATGGATCAGATGGGGTGGTTATTATGCTATGTAGTGGTGAAGTGAAGAACATGAGAAGTATGTGGTGGGCAAATCACCAGCATGATGTATTAATGTTTGTAGCTGTTGGACAATCTTAATTTATAATGAAAATGATTAATTTGGTGGTGGGACCATTTCATTATTCATTCTTTATATGGGAATGTCATTATTATAAAGTTTATTACATGAGGATAGAAGCTTAATGTGTAAATACTTTGTATCTTGCTAGGATCCACAGTATTCCTTGTTTTACTCGTAGCACTATTGTGATGAGGGAAGCAAGGTTTTTTTGATATTCTATGTTAACATATTTTTTTAAAATACCCTAATGTCATGGTAATCTGTGTAACAACATAGCATTATATCTAAGAGAATATTGATGTGAGTCTGTCTTGGTAACAGGTTGAAATGCTACTCATTTCTGTGTGAACTTGTGAGATCATAACATATACATGGACCCCATGTAATGTATTTTGAGAAAGTATATGATTTCCGAGTGAAACAGTTACTCTTAATTACTATCTGCTTTTTTCTAAGTACTATTATACTCTATTGGGTATCATTCTCCCTTTAATCAACTCTTCTGAATAGAGTTTTTGTGATAGGACAGATCTGATCATCGCTTTTTATTTTGTTAGAACACAGATTTTTTATATCATGCTATTTTATGCAAGTTAAGGCTCCATGTACTAAAAATGTTGTTGATAATTCATATATTTAATTTATTTAAACTGTTGAATGATAGGTGTAGTATGATATTTTCATGTGCTCTGTAATTACTTGCTTGCTTTATTTGCATCTTGTGAGAGGACTAGTCCTGAAATATCGAGTTTTATTTGCAATAAAATGGAATGATCTCCTGGTATTAAAAATGGCTTTTACTGTGTTTCTGAGAAGAAATGAAAGAAGTATTATTAAATTTTTGCTACGTTAAATTCTCATTCCTCCCTGTTCTTGTACCGGCAGTTGTTTCATATAAAATTACTGTCATAAATCTTCAGTATTGCTATGTGCAGTTGCAGGAAGGTGTAATTGTGACTGGTTGGCTTAGGAGATGGAATTAGCTGGACTCCATAGCAGTTGAATACAGAATGGGAGTACAAAACTGTAAATTATGTGGTTCAGTATGTTGATGGAATTGTTGGAATATACCAGAATGCAGGTACATGGTAGGGCTGCCAGATTTGGTAAAATAAAAAAAGGAGTGATGTCTCGTTGCTTGTTATAATGACATTTTTCACAACTAATAGGCTATAAAATATACATAATCAACATACTACATAACTCACAAAATGCTACTACACATCTGTATTACATAGGCCTACTACACATTTATAGAACAAAACAAATATTACGTAGCCCTATTACATATTTATAGAATGCACAAAATATTACCTAGCACACATTTGTAGAACACACAAATATTAAATACTACATATTTATAACTTTCAAGGGATGGTCGATCAGATTCTGTTAATTGTATTTCACTGAACTGTTAGCGCTTTTTAATAATTGAACATTACCCTTTGAAAATTTATAAAATTCTGAACAGGACTTGCTTTCATAGTTCACTGTCACCTGGAGTTCTGCCTTGATTAAATCTGTTGAGCATCTGTTTCTTGTGTCACTCCACTTACTTTTCATGAATGAAAAGATTCGCTCCACAAAAGCATTTGAGCCAGGGATGCTAAACAAAAATCCTACCACTTTGGAAATATTTGGTACATCATGCTCAGGTACTGAAGAAAAAAATGTAAGCCAGTTTGCTACATAATCACCATATCTGTTCACACTGTTGCAGAGTTAATCTCGATGGCTGCTGAACTCCTCGTACAGGTCATCAATGCAAACATTTTCACTTAGCTGAAACACTTCTATGGATTTTTCAAGATCTTTGAACTCAATTCCTTCCTGTAGAGAAAATGCTGCAAGGGATGCATAAGGATTGTCATCTGTCACATCATATCTTTTTTGCAGATACTGAAGCATATTGCTATAAAAGCTGTTCAGGTCTTCAGTAACCTTTTTCTGTAATGGCATAGACAATCCATTAATGAGTTTTTTTGCTTTGCTACCAAAAAAGTTGTCTTTCCTTCTCTGCTGGATTTTAGAACTGAGAAGTTTCATTTGTTTGTAAGTCTCTAGTACACTTAAGTCAGACCTTTCCAGTGTTTTATCTACCATTTCCAGCTGACTTCCAATATTACTTAAGAAATTAGAGTACATTTCAGGCAACACTGCTTCCTCTGGGTCATCTTTCATGAAAATGTTAGATAATAATTTTGGACAGTTGGGAATATTATTGAAGTAACTTTTCATTGCTTCTCAGTTCTGAAGCAGTTGAGAAGTGACTGGTGTTAATGACAGCCACCTAGTTGGAACATGCCTCAAAATCTCAGTCCACTCCAAATTCAGATATTCAAAGAATGATTTTAACTCTTCTCTTCTTTTGGCAGAGACAGAGAAGTGATTATATATCTTTAAGACTACAATTTCATCATCAACATCTAATCTCTCAATTGCAAACATAATTGTGTTATGTATGAACTGATTAGAGCAATTAGCTTTCAGTAAATCTGGGTTTTTACTTGGCAGCAACTGATATACGGAATGTGTTTTTCCATAGTTCACATTGGCACTGTCTGCACAATAAGAAGACACATAATTTACATCCAAGTTATGCTTTTCTAAGCTCTGCAGCACCAAACCAGTAATTGCATAGACGTTTCCTCAGCACTTTCAACAAAATCTAGAAGTTTATTCTGCACTCCCTTTAAAGAGTCAAAGTACCAGATGCAAACAGGGTACATTTTTCGATTGTTTCTGCTTGATGCATCGGTAGCCAACGAAGAAAATTTTGAAGTATTTTCTGGACATCTTAAAATAGACACAAAGTCATTTACACTTTTAGGAGCAAGAACGTACTTCACAATCATTTCTGCTTTAGTGCGTCCACATTAAAGTTGGGAAGCAATCGTGGAATCACTGAAAATATGGGACACAAGTTTATTTCCGCAGTCCAGACTGGAATAACTTAAGTTGTGTTTCACTGCATGATACACTAAACCAAGTTCGCACGCGGTGCTGTTGTCATATTCTTCTTTATTGTTTAAATTAACAAAGTATTTTGAAGGTTTATTTGAACTTCCAGAATTACATTTTTCCTTAATTTTATGTCCCTTGTATTGTGCATGTTGCCTCAGGTCACTTTGTCCACCGTGCGAAATACTAAAATCCTTCCTACACAACGTACAAAATGCCCGGTTCCTGTCTGGTCCCGGCTTAACCCACGAAAACATATCTTCCCATTTCTTAAGATATATTTGATTATGTTTGGCCTGGAATTTGAACTTCTTCCATGGAGGAGTCTTTGATGGATCTTCTTGGCCCTCAAACATTTTTGCTAACTTGACACTGACTTTCTAGCGAAGATTGAACGGATTAAAAATACACTATCACCAACAACCTCTGCTTTGGTTTAGAACCTCAAGTGTTGCCAACATTCACAAAATGCAACATAACGAAAGAAACTATAACAGTGTCATTTTCCAAGGATTACAGAAATTTTATGATAATATTTAACCCATGAAATATAATTCGCAATGGACTTAAATAAAAAAAATGGAGAATTATCCACTCTGGGTAAACGATAAACGGAGGAACAAAATTTGGGTGAAAAAACGGAAGAATCTGGGGAAAACCGGGTATCTGGGAACCTTAGTACATGGATATTCTAGTTAGTTTCCTTCAAAGAATTGTTGCTAGTGTTGGCTAAAATTTGTAACTGTTTATTAATTTAAAGTTTTAAATATTGTCGCATATTAGGGGTTGTCGTGACTAGAAATAATGAGCTCTAGATTTGATAATTAGGTTTATTGGCGCTTATTTACAATTACAATAAATTACTACAGCTCACAATTAATCTTGACTGCCGAGGCTGCTCTTTGTTCTGTTTCTTGTTCTGTGACTGGCTGCAAATGTCCTTCATTGTCTGCCATAAACCTTCAACACTGACCACGCACAGAAAACACGTTGGGAACACCATATCCTAGCAATTCCTCTATTGTGTTAGGACAGGAATGCCATTATTTAAATTCATTGCTGTGGGAACAAGTATTTACTTAGCCATTGCCTAGCAATGGGGATCCACGTTACATTGCTCCCTCCTTAAGGCTGTTCATATCCATGGAAATCTATGCAGATAATTTGTTGTCCCAAAAACGTGTTTAGCAGTTTGTATCCTAGCAAAGGATAAACATGTTACAACATGAATTTTCAACAACTTAACCCACTTATAACAAAATATTATAATGCATGTGGCAACCTCTGGCAGGAGCATTTTTTCTAAATTTGAAAGTATGCCATCATTTGTTAATGTGTACTTATGTGTTGGTGTGTATTATGTTAAAAACAACAGCTCAATTCTGAAAGGTCATTAAAATCAATATCATTGACATGTAAGAGAACCCTGAGTCTGGGCGGTGTGGAGTGAGGTACTTGGTGGAGAGAATGCAGCATCAGGTAGATTCAACGGGTTCCAACACTGATGTATAACACTCAAAATTCCTGGGTTTTAGACTTTGTCGATCATCCAGTATTCTAAAAAGCTAGAGAACACAATGTTTTGGAAACTGGATCTGTTTCTGTCCTCAGGCGAGGTGGAGACACGTAGGTCTTTCTAAGGGACCCAGCAGAGTAGGTGTGTCTCCCTCACCTGAGGATGAAAACAGATTGAGTTTCCAAAACGTCATGTTGTCAAGGTTTTAGAATACTGGATGATGGATAAAGTCCAAAAGCCCAGTAGTTCTGAATACAGCATCAAGTTTATGAGATTTTGATGCCCTATCTGGTAGATAGGTACTAACATTTTAGATCAGTCTGGTACCTCCATCATCTGTCTAGGAGGCAGTACTATCTACCAGACTACACTGCACTGCATCCTAGAAAATCATAATCTTAATCATCATTTGTACTTTGTAATTGATGGGTATTTACTAGTAATCTCATTCTGTTCAAGCTGTATCAAGTTATGATTTGACTTGACAAGAAAACTTGAAAGAAGAAAAGTAACTATAATTATTATTCTTTTACATTGTATATTATACACAAGCTTTAATATGCGGATATGAAACCAAACAGAATTTTACCCATGTGCGCCTCATATGCAGGTACACATACTGGTGTATATAACACTCATTAAGATATAAATTGGACATGAAATTGAGGCATGAGTTACGGTAATGCTTTCCAGCTCATAATGTTTGGGCTGTTTATTACATTGTGAATTTATATCTAGGTTTGCTCTGTGCAATAAAAATGTTATTAAATTTATGAAGAGAGTTTTAACAATTTTGGTTAATTTATGACTCTTTAAATAATTCCCTATATAAGAAGACTTAGTTTTGCTGTATAAAGGAAACTATTTTCTTACACAAGTAAAACTGTTATATTTAAGGTGCTGTGTTTTGAATACTGTTTGTTATGTTTTTAGAAGGTGAAACTAATCATCAACAAGATACCTGAAGTATAATGCATAATAGTATGTGAATATTTTTTCTTGTGCTTTCATATGGATTTCTGCAGCCTTGAAGGATGTTTTTTATATTGATTGTATGACTGTTTTGACAGTATGTAGGAAATGATGAAGGGTCAAGTGTTGATACAAATCACTAAGGTTTTTCTTAACAGTGGGAAAGTAAATACCGTATTTACGCATGTATAGGCCGCAGCACAATTTTCAGACAGAAATTATAGAAAAAATAATTTTCTTGGAATATTATTTCAGGAGTAGAAATGAATATAATGAATATATTTTTAAATGAAGTGTGATTTCGAACATTTCGAATATAAGCCGCACCCCAGTTTTCCTCTTGAATTTTTGGCAAAAAATGTGCGGCCTATACATGCGTAAATACGGTATATAAATACTGTAAAAAATGTCTTGTATTGGGCTAGTCAAACCCACAAGATGCTTCTGGGCTACGCCAAAGCTATTGGCATTTCATAAGGGTTGCAATGTAAAACGCATGGGTGTATTTTATAAAATTAATATAATATATGTGATTTCAGATACACATTGACACAAAGAAGTAGCTGTTTTTAGCTCAGTTTTATTTTATTTTATGAGGTTGAATAAATGTATGGTATTTTCCTCCTCTCTGCATCTGTTGCTGTCTGGGTAACTTTTGAATAATTTTCATCATAAATTCCTGTCATCAGTAGTACCAACATGCAAGGTGCAGACATATGCAATGGGGAT